TCCTATTCCACATATAGTGCTATATCCATGGCTCACGCTCATGTATTGCGTGAAGATTGAAAAAGTTTGAGAATACTAAAGTATGAAACAATTGCTTGGCTAAAACTGGGGTTGTGCATGATTTAAATTTTGTGTGTGATGAAGATAGAGCATAGCCAGACTATATGATTTTGTAGGGATAACTTTCTTTGGCCATGTTATTTTGAGAAGACATGATTACTTTGTTAGTATGCTTGAAGTATTATTACTCTTATGTCAATATTAAACTTTTGTCTTGAATCTTTTGGATCTGAACATTCATGCCACAATAAAAAAAATTACATCGAGAAATATGCTAGGTAGCATTCCACATCAAAAATTCTGTTTTTATCATTTACCTACTCGAGGACGAGCACGAATTAAGCTTGGGGATGCTTGATACGTCTCCAACGTATCTATAATTTTTTATAGTTCCATGCTATTATATTACCCGTTTTGGATGTTTATGGGCTTTACTAAGAACTTTTATATTATTTTTGGGACTAAACTATTAACCGGAGGCCCAGCCCATATTGTTGTTTTTTGGCCTATTTCAGTGTTTCAAAGAAAAGGAATATCAAATGGAGTCCAAACGGAATGAAACCTTCGGGAGAGTTATTTTTGGAACAAACGTAATCCAGGAGACTTGGAGTGGACGTCAAGAAGTAAACGAGGAAGCCACGAGGCAGGGAGGCGCGCCCCCACCCTCGTGGGCCCCTCGTGGCTCCCCTAACCGACTTCCTTCGCCTATATATATCACCATACCCTGAAAGCATCCAGGAGCACCACGAAACCCTATTTCCACCGCCGCAACCTTCTGTACCCGTGAGATCCCATCTTGGGGTCTTTTCCGGCGCTCTGCCAAAGGGGGAATCGATCACGGAGGGCTTCTACATCAACACCATAGCCTCTCCGATGAGTTGTGAGTAGTTTACCTCAGACCTTCGGGTCCATAGTTATTAGCTAGATGACTTCTTCTCTCACTTTGAATCTCAATACAAAGTTCTACTCGATCTTCTTGGAGATCTATTTGATGTAACTCTTTTTGCGCTGTGTTTGTTGAGATCCGATGAATTGTGGGTTTATGATCAAGTTTATCTATGAACAATATTTGAATCTCCTCTGAATTCTTTTATGTATGATTTGTTATCTTTGTAAGTCTCTTCGAATTATCAGTTTGGTTTGGCCTTCTAGATTGATCTTTCTTGCAATGGGAGAAGTGCTTAGCTTTGGGTTCAATCTTGCGGTGTCCTTTCCGAGTGACAGCAGGGGCAGTAAGGCACGTATTGTATTGTTGCCATCAAGGATAAAAAGATGGGGTTTATATCATATTGCTTGAGTTTATCCCTCTACATCATGTCATCTTGCCTAATGCGTTACTCTGTTCTTATGAACTTAATACTCTAGATGCATGCTGGATAGCGGTCGATGTGTGGAGTAATAGTAGTAGATGCAGAATCGTTTCGATCTACTTGTCGCGGACGTGATGCCTATATACATGATCATGCCTAGATATTCTCATAACTATGCACTTTTCTATCGATTGCTCGACAGTAATTTGTTCACCCACCGTAATACTTATGCTATCTTGAGAGAAGCCACTAGTGAAACCTATGGCCCCCGGGTCTATTTTCCATCATATAAGTTTCCGATCTACTTTATTTTGCAATCTTTACTTTCCAATCTATATCATAAAAATACCAAAAATATTTATCTTATTATTATCTCTATCAGATCTCACTTTCGCAAGAGGCCGTGAAGGGATTGACAACCCCTTTATCGCGTTGGTTGCGAGGTTCTTGTTTGTTTGTGTAGGTACGAGGGACTTACATGTAGCCTCCTACTAGATTGATACCTTGGTTCTCAAAAACTAAGGGAAATACTTACGCTACTTTGCTGCATCACCCTTTCCTCTTCAAGGGAAAACCAACGCAGTGCTCAAGAGGTAGCACATCTCATGGTTCTCGCTGCCCTCGCCGGCCTGCTGGTGAGCAATGAAAAGTCGCGGTGAGGTGGCTCGGCGCCGGGGCGGATGAAAGCAAAGAACCGGCATCGTCTCGAAGGCTACTGCATGCTCTACACAGACTACTTCGTCGACGCTCCACTGCACGGCGACAAAGTATTTCGGCGCCGTTATCAGATGAGCCGAAAGCTTTTCCTCATGATTGTGAATTCGATCCGGGAGTTCGACAGCTACTTCAAGTGCAAGATGGATTGCACCGGCAACCTTGGATTCACCTCAATCCAGAAGTGCATGATAGCGATGAGGATGCTTGCATACGGAGCTCCTGGTGATTCACTCGACGACTATGGGCGCATGGCCGAGTCCACCACCATTGAGTGTTTCTACAAGTTCTGCAGGGCAGTGGTGGCAGTGTTTGGACCGCAATACTTGTGAACACCCAATGCAAAAGACACTGCTTGGATCCTAGCACAGAATGCAGCAAGAGGATTTCCTGGGATGCTTGGAAGCATCGACTGCATGCATTGAAAATGGAAGAACTGCCCATTTGCTTGGCAGGGGATGTACAAAGGTGCCAAAGGCGATTGCAGTGTGGTACTTGAGGCAGTAGCCACACAGGACCTCTGGATTTGGCACTCCTTTGGTATGCCAGGAACTCACAATGACATCAACGTGCTACAGTGCTCCCCTATCTTTGCCAAGCTTGTTGAAGGTCATTCTCCTCCGGTGAACTTCGAGGTCAATGGACGGCACTACAACAAGGGGTACTACCTAGCTAATGGCATCTATCCGAGATGGTCTATATTTGTGAAGACTATCTCAAACGTTGTGCCAGGAGGCAAGAAGTCCCACTTTGCCAAGGTGCAGGAGGCTTGCAGCAAGGATGTCGAGCAAGCATTTAGTGTGCTCCAATCTCGATTTGCTGTTGTCCGGTACCCTGCTCAGACTTGGTCGAAATATCAAATATGGGGGATCATGACTTGCTATGCCATCTTGCACAACATGATCATCGAGAGCGAGCAGGAAGAGCCACTGTTTGACACTGAACCATACTATAGGCAGGGTCCTCTAGCCGAATTTGATCACCAGCTACCAGCAACCTGGACTGCCTACCTCAATATGCGTCAGGAGATCCGAGACACACAGGTGCATCAACAACTGCAGCAGGATCTGGTGGAGCACCTATGGAGGATCAAGGGCGACGCCTAGCTCGACGTGTGATGAAATATGAGTTTTTATTTCTTGAACTATATAATTTGTATTGAACTATTTGTTGTTGTACTCTTTGTTGAACTATTTTGATTTTTATTGATTTGATGTGATGAATATGTGACACAAAAACCACGCCCAACCACGCCAAATATGGGCCGATTCGCGCCGGTATCGGGCCATTTTTCGTCGAAAGTGGGCCGAAAGGTGGCCAGGAATGGGCCGATATCGGCGTCTGGGGGCGCCGGCTGGATGCCCAACCGCCCCCAGAGCCGATTCTACCGCCGGCTCGCCCCCAGGCGGCGTTTTTTATGCCTCCTGGGGGGGCCAACGGCTGGAGATGCTCTTAACCCTCGGAAGGGTATGGACGCATCAGCACCTGAAATCCCGAACTCTTCCTAGGCTTCAACCTTAACCAAGGAGACGAACAATCATGCCCATTGAAAAGTTACACCTAGGTGATAGCATGCCTCCTAGAAACCGGAGGCAGATGCAAACCCATATCCTCTCACCCGAATACAGCTACTTTCAAGAATTTGTGTGGTGGAAAAATATTGGGCTTCCAAAAAGGGAAGCCGCCGTGTGATGTGCCCTTGAAAGTTGAACCATTCTAGGGACGAGTATACCTAGCAAGTTCCGAAACGTCTCAGGGCTGCCTCTCATATTCCCTCTTTCTCAAGCCAACGACTTTCTCAAGATCAACGATGTGTCCCTCGCGCCCACTCGTGACAAGTAGCGTGAATGCGATGTACTTCAAGTGCACATGGCAGGTTGTAGCTGCTTTCAAAGTAAGAGTATCGATTCCACGAAGAGCCGAGGAAATGCTCGTTTGCCCCTTGTAGAGGTTTGGGTCTGCAGGTTATCTTTGATTCCAAGCGAATGTGTTGTGATGGTGAAATTTTGCAAGTGTGTTTGTGAGTAAGAACTAAGGTGAGTAGTAATTGTAACACATAACAAGAGAGTAATGGAATGATAAAAACTAGAGTAGGGATAAAGGCATTCTCGAGGATCATTATTCAGCACCGGTAGGCCAAATAATAATGAAGTATGAATATCTTATGTTTGTAATAACTGTTCATGTGAGGGCAGAGCCACAAAAGATGTGTACTAAGGCCTTAGTTCCACATCCACCATCACCCCAACATAGCTATCGCTGAAGTACGATGATGAACAAGGGTCTCCCCGTGGGTGTGGCATAAAAAAGCGAATATTGGTTTCTGAGCCCGAGCTCAGATGCTCCCAAAATCTATACCGCAGGCTGTCATGTGGATCTGCACCCACTGCTATATTTCACCATTGTATATCTCCATATCTAGCACTGCTCAGCAGCACAATGAATGCGACCGCATGTCACACTGTACAAGCAGAACATGCAGTTGAGGCACGGTTCAGCCATATTTCTGAGCCGGCCTGAGCAGTTCACCATGCATGACTCACAGACGGCTACCAGACGAGCCCGTCTTAAATACATCTCTGGAACTGACCCATTATTCTCTTTTCCGTATCATCTGATCACGGTCAGCCACTTCATGTATGTTAAGCAGTGAATCAAATAACCACAAGTAGTTGCAGCCTATTTAAATTCAGACAGATCATCATCTGTTCACATAATCTCTAACACGTACATAGTTCAAATTACTCTAATTAGATCTCCATTAGGAATACATCCCATGCCCATAGCTTTCCAGATGCACAATGCTCGTAGGTTTTCTGATGCAAAATAACACTAGAACATAAACATGCCCATCTAACGATAAGTACACGCACAGCCAAGACTGCATGCAGACTGGAATTGCTAATGTCTTTCTCGTCAGTCAATGATCTCCTCGTACAGAAACTCCGGGGTATCTCCCTTGTTCCCCTTCATGGTCACTATCTCGTATGCAATCTTCTTGTGTAGGTCCTCGATCTGACCCTGTGATGAAGCAAAAATAGGAGAAAACTATTAATTACTTTCATCAAATATGCCTATCAGTTTCAGCTAGTCAAGAAATAGGTTAGGTGGTTCCATACCATACCTGGGTTATAGTTGATCGAAGGTATAGACCGGTGAACTCCAGGACGTAGGGAGCGACATATACGTCACTGTCTTCCCTGTGAGGAAACAACATTGAACTTAGGAATTTTGCAGGCAATTTTCTTTAACAACCTGAAATGCTGAGGTATGTTCTAGGGTACTCACACACGCCTAAGGCATGGCTCGTGCTACGCCACCAAAGGGTACACAAACGACCATCCAGTGGTCTCAACCAAACCGGCTCCGAACATGTCCATGGATCTTCTTGTGCTGAAACTTCCTTGCTAGCGGCCCATGTTTGATTTTCATCTCATCCGATGGGTCTGTCTCCGTTGGGTCAAGCACCATCATAATCTTCTCGGTATCCAGGATATATAATGACCGGCAATCCATGAAATGCACTAGGAACATGAACTGAAAGTTGATTTTCAAGAACACAGAGAAAATCAGAAAATTAGGAGCATATGGATAAATGATGCTCAACTTTTCCAATTATTCCATTTACCTTCTTTAGCCAATCAACTCTATAGCCCATGACTTTAGAGTCGATCATCATCTGGTGGCTCACTGCCCAACCATAACCTGTAATTTGGCAACGTACACATTCATTCTACGAGTTCTTCCACCAAAACAATATTCAGTCTAACAGTTCTACTACAAGAATACTAACAGTACGATGAATGTGCTTCTGACTGTTAAACAAGGCACCACTAAGGAATAAGGATGGGAATGCAATGGCCAAGCTTACTTTCTGGTGTATAAGGACTTTTTTTCTAACGATTACAGAAGTAAACAAATTCCGACAAAATCATGTGCAGTTGTGACGAGCATACAGTGACAGACCAACAGCAGGAGGATTTGGGTTCACACCTTTTTTTGTCCTCTCAGGTGCCTCTGGATTGACTCTGTCAGTAGACTGGGCCGACCTTGTCGGTGATGCATCCACACGACGGCGGACTCTAACTCCTGCCATATCATTCCCATCGCCGTCGAGCTGTTGAGCGCAACCAGATCCAGTATTTGAGTCCGCAGGAACGGCAAGGCCGGCTCCGCTGTTTGGCAACAAGACCGGGGGAACTGTATCTGGGTACTCGAGGTTGTCCGCGAACTCCTCTCATAATGGGAACCTGCAAGAAGATATCAATGGCCACCACCAGGGCCCGTTCGTTAGGTCTCTTCTTCAAGGAAAAACAGCCTGAAGAGCAAATCCTCAAAAAAACTAATTGCTGAGACCACTTACTTGTCAATGGCATCAAGCAGGAACTCAACCCCACCGTCTTCCATTTCCCCATGCTCGCCGTTGCAGAACGAGCGCCGCCGCAAGGACCTATTCGGTCGGGGATATACCCCGTGGCGTAAACCGGCCGGGAGTATAAACCGGCCGGACTGGATGATTCACCGGCTACCCGCCCGGTCTTGGCGGTTCATTAGTAACCCGGCGGGCGGGTCAGATGGATGATGAGGCCCATGGACCAGAAGGCCGGTTCATACTATGGTGGGCCGGTTTAAGGAGAAAGGCATGACGAATATTTACCTTACAAGGAGTTAAGACCAGGACTTGTATCTGGTTTGTATTAGAGATAGACTAGTCCTTATCCTAATAGGACTCCACATGTAAACCGCCCCTTCAACATATATAAGGAGGGGCAGGGCTCCCCAAAGAGGGGAGAAAAAAGAAGAAACAATCTTAGGGCTAGACACAAAGAGGAGAGCCGGTTTACGGCGACTCCCTCGTGATGATAATGAGACCTAGCCTCAAACAACATGTAGGGTTTTTACCGGATGATGTTTCCCGGGGCCCGAAGCTGTCTAAATCCCTGTCTTGTGTTGCGTCTCTCGATTCCACTCAACCCCTCTCAAGCTACCACATAGATGCGTTGGCCTCGCGACTAAGTCCTGACACTAAGGACATCTGACGTGACAATTCCACGACAGTTGGCGCCCACCGTGAGGCCTGCGCACGGTGGTGTTGAGTTCTTGGAGGGATCTCTCCTAGGGATCGAAAGCTCGCGATGTGATCAGATGAAGAAGAGCCGGCACGGAACGATAGTATGCCAGATTCATCAAAGCCGGAAAGATTTTTAGGGTTTTCGTGCATCACCCCACGCATCGCTGGGTGACCCATCGAATCCGAGGGCACATCGTTTTTTCAACAGTCAAGACCGGATAGGAGCTGTTATACAAGGGGGCAGCCGTTGTCGATGCTACAACTCATATCAAGTCCCGAGGAGATAGTACCAGGAGACATCGTAGTTTGCATCAGACCTTATAATTATGGTATTACCAAAACAAGAGGAACCGACCGGTCAAATCTGGAGCAGATGAGATTCGAACTCGGATAGCCGCGCGCACGCGTTCCGTGTTAGCTATTGTGCCACGTAACCTTTTTCTGGTCATGGGTCCGCTCCGTCTCATCGTAAGCCCGCAGCTGACCAGCTATACGTTCACGAGTTGCTACTGCCGGATCAAGTCCCAGGAAAATTTTTCGCCTGCAGCCGTACAAGTACCTACGAATACGTGGTTGTGACGGCACCGAGAACTGCACTGGCTAGCCCCGTTCGGCGCGCACACGTGCAGGGGAATATAATGACAGAGGTATCCATGATAGCCGGGTTAACCGAGCCTTAATCAGGTGCTACTAGCTCACGTGGAGGAGCAAATCCAAAGTCTGCGCCCGCGATTGACTCATCATCCGCACCGGTTTACAAGGCCGCGTCCGATTCATCACCCCGAAGCCGCTTCTGATGCTGCGGTGGTTATACTGTCCGTCCAAATATCAGGTGGTATTCATTTAAATTTATGTATTAAACACTTTTTTTTTCAAAGAACAATTACTCTGTCCTGTAATATTTTTACACAGGACAATTTTTATGCTATTCACGGACATGCGTACCGCGGTCTGGGTTACATCAACGCGCCGGCCAACTCGCCTGTCCGTACCACCTTACAGCACCACGGACGACTCGCCCGTCCGCCCTGGCCACAGGTTCATGCGTCCGCGCCGGTTTACAACACGGAGGACAACTTGCTCGTCCGCACCGGTTTACAACACCGCGGCCGGATCATCCGTCTGCTCGTCTGGCCGACTCGGCCGTGATTAATTTTAGCATCACTATGATGATCATCAACTCCATGGCGGATAATTTCTGGCCTAACACATCAGGTGATATCCATCTAATATATATTTTATTAGTGCATATTATTTTTCTCAAAGAGCAGTTTATCTTTGCCTTGGTCTGCAATATTGTATGCAGGACAGTTATTCATTATCAACGTGGTTTATACCATGGGTACGAAGCACGTGCTGGCAACGTCCTGCCCGGTGTTCGTCCGTGCCACATTACACGGTGAATGGACGCGTGCAAGACGCCGCCCTTACGGCCCGGTTTACATCAACTCGCCGGGACCGTGCCTGCGTTTGACTCGCCCGTCCGAACCGGTTTACAACGCCGCGACCGACTCATCTGTCTGTGCGGCCTCTGATGTTGCGGTCGTATTTTCCGTCCGTCTCTCGCGGCCTGGTCTGCATCAACATACCGGGCCGCACCTGTCTGCATGAGCAAGTCACAGCTGGGGTAGCCCGGTTTTCTTTCAAAATGGAGGCAAATTGTCATATACTATCAACCGCCGTCTACACCGGATGGTTCAATGGACAGGCGCACAAGTTGCCGCCACTATAGTTTGGTTAACTTCAAATCGCCAGTTGGAAGGAGACATTGGCCGAGTTGCTGACATGGCTCGTACGGGATCATTTATAACCCGCCGCAGTCATCACAACCTTCTGTGGATTCACATCGTGCTATCAACACCAATGATATACAAGTTATGCCGGTTTATATCACGGTCGAACATGGAGAATCTCAAGCCAACTCCTCGAGTCACCTTTGAGACTTGGGGGCTACGATGACATAACTCAGCAAATCTTGCCAGTTTCAGCAAAGTTAAAAACCCAGGACGATGGAGGGAAAGATAACCCGGTCCCGGAGGCTACTGTTATGAAAATTTAAAGGCTGTCGGAAAATTTCCGTCTTAGAAAGTATATAACAGTTACAAAATCCCGGCTCAGTGAAGAAGTTCTGGATCATCAGAAAGGATTCCGGTTTAAAATCCGGCTCAAGGGAAGTCAGTCTCACTGAAGCTCTCAAGTATCCAGTTTACAATCTGGTTCAAGGGAAATATATTCTCCCACAAAGCTCTCAAACTCTCAAATCAGGTTTAAAAATGTCCGGTTCAAAAAGGAATTAACTTCTCGCAAGTTCGAGTTGAAAGGCCATCAGAAAATTTCCGGCTGAAAATGAAGATTCCGGTTTACAATCCGGTTCAAGGGAAAGATGTCTCCCACAAATCCTTGAAGCTCTCAATATCCGGTTCAAAATCCCGGTTCAAGAAGGATTTATCTCTTGCAAAAAAGTTAAAGGGTGCCAAAGAAGACTTGCTGCCATGATGCGCGGTCCAAACATGGGTATCATGCCTTATTGGCTTATCATATTATTGGTCACTTGGGGGCTTGGTCGTATCCGAACCATAGCCACGCCTCTTGATCGGCCTAGTGCCATAACATCACTGGGGGCCTTGGTCGTGTCCGAACCAATGCGACACCTTTTGATAGGCGACAGCCACCAGATCACTTGGGGACATGGTCAAGTCTGAACCAGTCACGCCTCTTGGTCGGCCTAAGGCCACAAAATCACTTGGGGGCTTGGTCGAACCCGAACCATTGCCACGCCTCTTGATCTGGCATATATGCCACGAATCATTTGGGGACCTGGCTGACTTGAACCATAGCTACACCTTATTGGGAGCTTGGTCGTGTCCGACCATGGTAACACCATCTGATCGGCTCAGTAAAGCCTCTTTTTGCAAATGGTCTTATCATTGCCTTTGCTTCCATTTTTTTTCATAACTGTTATTTGATTTTTGTTGCGTTTTTTAAACTGACAACGTTTTAATCCGGTTCAACTGTCAATTACAAATTGACGGAACACGATCAAATCTTAATCCGGGGGCCACCTGCCCAGTTTGATTTTCTATTATCATCCTATTATGGAGTAAACCGGCGTTCATTAACCCGGCTTGACTTTCAATTACAAGTTGTCAATAGAGGATCAAGTTATAATCCGGAGACTATCAGCCCGGTCTGGTTTGACTACGAGTCGCCAGTATTATATATGGTTAAACCGTTGTTTATCACAACCCGGTATGGTTTATCATCAACCGGCACAGTATGAAAGGAGTTATCATTACTCAAGATTGGGGTTATCACTCTTACTACAAAAAGTTGGTAAAACCAGCAATGTGATTCAATGTCACAGGTATGATATATTTCATATTTAATTATTCTTAAGTGCAGCCTTGGTTATAAACCCGGGTTATATGTTGGGCATTATGACCCGTCCGGCGGTAAACCGCCAGGACACTATAAACTTGTTGTATGCAGAAACAGGTTGAATAAAACATGATTATAAATCGCCGGCGTTTATTAAACCGGCCTGGCTTTGGACTGTAAGTTGCCAGTATATATTTGGATTGCATCATTGGAATCATGCGCTTATAAGTCATTGGGTTATATTATTCAAATAGCCAAACTTGGCTGGATTTTTGTTATGGTTATCAATAACCAGTATTACGATTAAGGTTTTCAAAGTTGCTTTAGCGCAATGGCTATCATATTATCAATGGATATAATTTATTCTACAATCGAAGGAATAGTCCCGAGTTGCTGCAGGCTTACAACCCGGCACTTGGGGGCTACATTATTTAAGTTGAGATTACATCAAATATGCAAGTCTCATGTCGCTGCAAGCATGCACCATGACACTTGGGGGCTAATGCAAGGTTATTTTTTGCTCATATTATTGAAGACCCGACTCATCACATTATAATGAGCTGGCCCTTGGGGGCTACCAATTGCTCCTGTCAACAACTCAAGGTACACAAGTTAAATCCATAATATTGAAGAATCCATTGCTCAGTTGGTAAAGCACAAAGCTCTTAACCTTGTGGACGTGGGTTCAAGCCCTACGATGGAAGCTACATTGTAATATGTTATTTTCATTGAAGTATATATATCAAGTCCCAGTTCAGTATTATCTTACTAAGCCGGCTTTTGGGGGCTACACGTTGCTGTTCAAAGTTTACAAGATTATATTTACAAAGTCCCTGCTCATTATTGCATAATAACCCGGCCCTTGGGGGCTACACTGGTTGAAGTTTTTATGAGCATCAAGCAATTACAAGTCCCAGGTTGCTGCAA